CAGGGCCTTCGCAGCTCACGCGTCTCTGGCCGCCCTGGCGGCATGGCATTGATCCGCAAGCATTCTGGCCAAACAAGCACGAGAGGTCTGCCAATTTTCAATCGATTGGACACAACCAATTCAAGAGTTTCAACATTGCGGCATCAGGCACAAGATGTATCAAGAGAATGATGTGCAGAAGTCCAGGCAGATGTCGTTTTGTCGTGTGAGGTATGGCATCATGATGAAGCGCCAGGAGTTCCGTGAGAAGGCCGAGGAGATTGGCTTCGTGAAGTACCGCTGAGGGACTCGCCGAGCGACGTCTAGATTGATCTTGGATCTGTGCGCTGTACGACGATTGGAACCCTATGGACAGAGAGAGAGTGCTTGTTCCTGATGCAGCAAAATGACAGACCGATGGGTGAGAAGTTGCTGGATGCCAACACTTAGACATGTCATGAATCAGCTGGTCTTGGCAGTGCAACTGGCAATTTGTGCAGTCATGGCATCATGGCATTGTAGGTTGGAGGCCATCGCTCTTAGGTTGGAGGCCATCGCTAGGTGTGTTGGAGGCCATCGCTACTAGGGTGGAGGCCGTCGCTATTATTTGATTTGCTTGTCGACCCGTCTACCCGTTGGCGAGATAAGTTTTCAAGCTCGGCCGGGTCTGGGCTGTACAAGTCAAGAATAAAGTTGTTGATCTATCTCTTGCTTTCCTTTTCAACCCAATGCAGACAGGTTTATTGGCCAGATTATGGGAAGCAGCTGTTGAATTGCAAAGTGTAGAAGCTGTCATGCGTTTGCGTCTTTGTTTTTGTACCCTTTCATAATGTAGCTATAGGAGAAGCTCGACAGTGCACTTGGTGCACACCCCGCGGCTCACTTTATCCTCTTTGCATTCGCATGGACCGCTGTGGCTGAAATACCGATGGCCATGCAAGCACCGCTACTGGCGGCAGGCGGCCCGTCTGGCGATGTTTGATTGAATGCCAAACGACTTTGAGGGAGGACCGGGTGCTGTTTCTGTGCCATTGGAGACACTGGATACACCCCAAAGTCTCCTAGTAGGTTGGAGGCCATCGCTAGTAGGTTGGAGGCCATCGCTCTTAGGTTGGAGGCCATCGCTAGTAGGTTGGAGGCCATCTCTAGTAGGTTGGAGGTCATCACTAGTAGGTTGGAGGCCATCTTTCTTAGGTTGGAGGCCATCGTTCTTAGGTTGGAGGCCATCTCTAGCAGGTTGGAGGTCATCACTAGTAGGTTGGAGGCCATCGCTCCACTAGTAGGTTGGAGGCCATCGTTCTTAGGTTGGAGGCCCTTTATCTTGAAAGCTGTCAAAAGAAACTGCAAAGAAGGAAAGTCTCGGGACCATGTTCATGAGTCAATGTGACAAATGGATCTTCCGCACTTGTTACTAATAGCGATGCACTTGCTACTAGTAGCTTCTTGTTACTAGTAGCGATGCACTTGTTCCTAGTAGCTTCTTGTTACTAGTAGTAAGGCACTTGTTCCTAGTAGCGATGCACTTGTTACTAAGAGTCAATGTGACAAGTGGATCTTCCGCACAAGAATCAAGAATCCATGAGTCGTCACATGTCTTCACCTTTTCACTGTCGCTGTCGTAGAACCTTGCTTCTAAGGTCCAACTGCAAAGGCTGCCGGGACCCGAGGATATTCTGTGATGCAATGTGCCAATGATAATCGACCTTTGGATTTCTTTGAGTTTGATAGTCACCAGCTCACTCTCACCAAGAATGTTTGGTGCTGTTTTCATTTGTTTTCTCTCCTAACATTTTGGAATGGACTGACAATCATGTTGTAAGATGGCCACCTACCGGTCGTTTTCAGTGATTGGTTCAGCCAATGCACACAATACTTACAGTAGCGATGCCGATTGCTCCTAGTAGCTTCTTGTTACTAGTAGTAAGGCCAGGAGCCCCCAGTAGCGTTCTTGCTCCTAGTAGCGATGCCAGGAGCTCCTAGTAGCG